CAGCGTCACCCCAACAGTGTGACCCCTCCAACAGTGTGAAACCCCACCAATGTCACCCTCCCCAACAGTTTGACCTCCCCAAAAACGTGATCCCACCCCTGACAGTGTTACCCCAACACTGTGACCCTCCCAACAGTGTGACACCCCCCCAGCAACGTGACCCCCCCAGCATCACCCCAACACTGTGACCCTCCCAACAGTGTGACACCCCAACATTGTCACCCCCCCCCTCACTGTGTGTCACCCTAAAGTTGTCACTCCCCAGTGTGTCTCCCCAACATTGACTCCCCCCTGGGGTGACACCGCAACATTGTCACCCCCCTAATGTGACATCTGACGTTGTCACCCTCCAGAGTGGCCCCTAACAGTGTGACACCCTGACATTGTCACCCCCCCCATCATGACACGCCAACATTATCACCCCCCAGTATGACACCCCAACGTTGTTACCCCCCAAAAGGGACACCCCAACATTGTCACCCGCCAGTGTGACACCCAACAGTGTGACACACCGATGTTGTCACCCCAGCCAGTGTGACATCCCAACATTGTCAACCCAACAGTGTGACAGGCAACGGTGTGACACCCTGACATTGTCACTCCTCTAATGTGACACCCCAACTTTGTCACCCCCCCAGCATGACACCCAATGTTGTCACCCCCCCAGTGTGATGCTCCAACATTGTCACACCCCAGTATGACACCTAACAGTGTGACACCTCAATGCTGTCACCCCCCAAAGGGACACCCCGACATTTGTCACACCCCCCAACATGACACCCCAACATTGTCACCCTCCAGTGTGAAACCTAACAGTGTGACACCTCAATGCTGTCAGCCTCCCCGATGTGACACCCAGTAGTGTGACACCCCAGTGTGGGCTGTGGGTGGTGTTGGGTGTTTGGTGGTGGTTGTGGGGTGTTGGTGGTTGTGGGGTGTCATGGTGGTGGTTGTGGGATGGTGGTGGTTGTGGGGTGTCGGTGGGTGTGGGGCATTGATGCTGGTAAGATACTGATGGTTGTGGGGTGTTGGTTGTGGGATGTCACAGTGTGGTTTTGGGATGTCAGTGGGACATCAGTGGTTGTGGGGTGTTAGGGGTTGTGGGGTGTCACGGTGGTGGTTTTTGGGATGTCAGTGGGACATCAGTGGTTGTGGGGTGTTGATGGATGTGTGATGGTGATGGTTGTTGGGGTGTTGGTGGTGTCGGAGTGTTGGTGGTTGTGGGGTGCTGGTTGTTGCGGGGTGTCAGTGGTTGTGGTTGTGGGGTGTGGATGGTTGTGGGACGTTGGTTGTGGAATGTCACGGTGGTGGTTTTGGGATGTCAGTGGGGCATCAGTGGTTGTGGGATCGTGGTGGTTGTGGGGTGTTGGTGGTTGTGGGATCTTGGTGGTTGTGGGGTGTTGGTGGTTATGGGATCTTGGTGGTTGTGGGATTGTGGTGGCTGTTGGGGTGTCGGTTGTTGGTGTTGTGGGGTGTTCGTGGTTATGGGGTGTCGATGAATGTGGGAGGTCGGTGGTTGTGGGACACTGATGGTTGTGGGACACTGATGGTTTTGGGGTGTTGATTGGGTGTGGGTGGTTGTGAGAGGCTGATGGTTGTGGGACATCGGTGATTGTGGGGTGTAGGTGATAGAGGAACACTGATGGTTGTGGGATGTCAGTGGTTGTGGGACATTGATGGTTATGGGGTGTTGGCAGTTGTTGGCACACTGATGGTTGTGGGGTGCCGGTGGTTGTGGGATTTCAATGGTTGTGGGATGTCAGTGGCTGCGGGGTGTAGGTGGTTGTGAGGTGTAGGTGGTTATGGGGTGTTGATGGTTGTGGGATTGGCTATGGGAAATCAGCGGCTGTTGGTGTGTTGGTTGTCAGCTGTTGGTGGTTGTGGGGTGTGAGTGGATGTGGGACATCGGTGGTTGTGGGAGGCTGATGGTTCTGGGACATCGGTGGTTGTGGGGTGCTGATGGTTGTGGGACGTTGATGGTTGTGGGGTGTTGGCGGTTGTTGGCACACTGATGGTTGTGGGATGCTGGTGGTTGTGGGATTTCAATGGTTGTGGGATGTCAGTGGCTGCGGGGTGTAGGTGGTTGTGAGGTGTAGGTGGTTGTGAGGTGTAGGTGGTTATGGGGTGTTGATGGTTGTGGGATTGGCTGTGGGAAATCAGTGGCTGTTGGTATGTTGATTGTCAATTGTTGCTGGTTGTGGGGTGTCAACGGATGTGGGACGCTGATGGTTCTGGGATGCTGATGGTTCTGGGACATTGGTGGTTGTGGGAGGCTGATGATTGTAGGGTGTTGGTGGTTGTTGGCACGCTGATGGTTGTGGGGTGCTGGTGGTTGTGGGACCTTGATGGTTATGGGGTGTTGGCGGTTGTTGGCACACTGATGGTTGTGGGGTGCTGGTGGCTGCGGGAGGTTGGTGGGACGTCGGTGGCTGTGGGGCGTTGCCGTTCCCCGTGGCTCACCCTATGGGATGAACCCGATGCGTTGCCGAGGCCGCGCTGATCCGGGTGGCTCTGGGGGGGGGGGGGTGACACCGCTGTCCCCCCCGTGACGTCCCCGTGTCCCCACAGAGGGCAGAGGCCACAAGGAGAAGCTGGAGCTCGTGGCCTCCTTCTCCTTCTTCGGCAACGTCATGTCCATGGCCAGCGTGCAGCTGGCAGGGGCCAAGAGGGACGCCCTGCTGCTCAGCTTCAAGGATGCCAAGGTGGGAATGGGGTGGGGGCGTCCGGGGGGAGGGGTGGGGAGGGGGATGGGGGCATAATGGGAACGTGGTAGGGATGGGATGGGCATAGGGATGGGGGTGGGGTTGGAGTGGGGTTGAAGTGGGGATGATGGGGGTGGAGTGGGGATGGGGTTGGGATGGGGATGGGGTTGGGATGGGGTTTGAGATGTGGATGGGGTGGGAATGACAGAATCACAGAATTGTAGGGGTTGGAAGGGACCTCCAGAGATCATCGAGATGGGATGGGGATGTGGATGGAGTGGGGATTTGAGATGGGGTTTGAGATGGGGATGGGATGGGAATGGGGTGGGGTGGGGATGGGATGGGATGGGT